ACATCAACCTTAAAGACTGTGTACAAGTACTATAATTAATGTTTTTGAATTATTTTGATGAATAAATTGAACCACTTGATGTAAAAAAAATATCAACTTTGACAGATGAAGAATATCCATTTTATTCTCTGTAATGGAACAAGTTGTGAAATTCTAGCCTTTCATTTATTTCTTTTAAATTTCTTTCAAGTATTTTCATTTTCATAAGTTTTATAATGCACTGACACATTGTAATAGTTGAAAAAACCAAGTAATAAGAAGAAAAATATTTTCACATAACAAAATTACCGTTTAAAAGAAAAAAAGAAAAATCGAATCTGATGACTGTAAATAAATTGATTATTATGTTGATTGCATTATGGGTACTGAGGACAAAGGTCAAATCAGATACCATGTCATCCATGTTGTTTCAGTGTTTACCGTACGTTTTGTTTTGGTGATTTTTTGATGATTCTTTTTACTTTTCGCCAATAAAAGGCAAATAACAAGCAATTGGAACAATAAATTGTTGTTGGTTTTCTGTTCTAATTCAGGAATGATGAGGGAACTTGTTTTGACTCTCCCATTGCGTGGTTAACGCAATGCTTGTGACAATCACTTCACGCATCTAGCCATTGTTTTTTGTTTATTTATTCAGCCAGTTCCCCCCCCCCCCTGAGACATCCAATCCATTGTCCTAGTTGTCACCTATGCCACTATCTGTCTCTTAGTTCTTTGTTTTATCGCCTGTCAATTAATAAGAGGTCTCTCAATAAAGTCGTCATGACATCTTCCGGGACTCGTGAAACAGCTGTTCACAGAAAACAAAGGAGGGCGCTGAAGATAAATAGAGGGGCGCTGCAAATTGAAGAGGGGTGCTGCGCCCCTCTTAAGGTAGCGAGAAGGTTTTGTGACGTTTTTAAATAAAACATTCTCTGTCTGTTGTCTCGTTCAGAACAGTAATTTAGGTTATATATATCAAAAGACTAAGTATAGAGGTGCAAGTTCGCACAAACTGGACAGACATTGTTTACATAATTATCACGTGACATCAAAAATGGCGAACCTTGTAAAAATGACTAAGTACGCGATTGCGAGAGCACACTGCGGAATTTCCTGGTGAAATTTAAGTTATGCATTGTCCGTAATTAAGTCCATTGAAATGCGTCTCCGATAATCAAAAGACCTATTATTCCGATTTCTATGCAGGTTTGTTTTTTTGTCCCCAAATTATTTCATACTTGGCACCTTTAACAGACTATTATACTGTGACAAAGCATTTTCTTTAAAAACCCAAGACACATTTCGCACCATCATTATCTTTTGAT